CTTTAAAAATGACCACACCTATTATTAATTAAATAAATAAATTACAAAAATGAGTATTTATTGGTTTTGAAAAACAGCAAGCTACCGATGAAATCTGATGTATAAAAATAAGCAATCATGTTTTTTTATTAGATAAAGATTGTTGAGAAGACAAAACTCATTTGGACGCAACTGAGAGTTATAAAAATTGGCTTTTTTAGTTGAAAAATATAGACTGAACAATTTTACATAATTAGCTAAAATCGACTAATTAAGTGACTTTCTGTTAGTTATAATTACTCACACATATGTGAGTGCACGCACACACATATATAGTAAAATTAAAACAAAATCGTTTTATCTCGTGCAAGACACGGGTAAGGATACTAGTAATAATCTAAAATAAAACATCGAGATAGTGAGGAGTAATAGTTAGAATAATATTCCTTAATAGTTTTTTTTTTTGAATTTGGAATAACTTCCGTAATAGTTATAACTTATACTCCCTTCGTCCCCTATAATTGTCCCATTTTTCCTTTTTTGGATATCTCTCTATTATTGTCCCATACCATATTTGTGTGTGAAATTTTGTTCACCCTCATCAAATAGGGTGATGTTCACCCCCACCCTAATTGCTTCCCATGTGGCTTCTCATCCCTTTTTTTCTTTAAATCAATTTAATTTTTTTATTTATCGTTCAAATTTTATTGAAAAATATATCAGATTTAATAACTTTTTAAAGGCTTGTCTATCACACAGACAACTTGTAAGTGCAGTGTCTGTAAGAGTCATGAAATTGCCTTTCATTTGAAAAATAAATGTTTGTGATTGATATTTAATTGTTTGTCATTTGTTTGTTAGTTGTCTGTATTTGTTTTGAGTTGTGAAGTTGTTTGTAACTCATACTTAGTTGTTTTTCATTTCATTGTGAGTTGTATGCAATTTGTGGTGAAAATAATGTATGTCTGGTTATCTCTGTTGTTTGTCTAGTTATTCGTATTGTCTGTCTTCTTTATGAAACATATTCCAAAATGGCAATTCACAATAAAGTAATGTCTATATGTGTATACTTATTGCCTGGATGTGTATATTTAATGCCTGCCTCATTATACTAATTAAATCTCAAAAAATAAACATCATAAAATACAGAAAACTCACAATCAAATACAAACAACTCAAAACAAATACAAACAACTCAAAACAAATACATACAACTCAAAACAAATACAGACAACTCAAAACAAATAACAAACCATTAACCATCAATTACATACAGATAGACAACTTCACGAGTCTTACTAACACATACAAACACTGCACTTGCAAGTTGTCTGTCTGACACACAACCCTTTATATTTCAAAAATACATCAAAAATGAAGAAAACAAAATCAAGAAAAGAAGCTCTGCTGCTCAAGTTATTTAAAGCTTCATGGTTTGCCTTCGTCATTGTCTTCCCTTGAGGTTGCATCCGAAATGGCAACCGGCGTAGACCCGCCGTCGGCAAGGTCACCGGTGGAAGAGGAGATAAGCAGGAGAAGATCCAAGGTTGGAAGGGGGGAAATGGTAAAAATGGAAAAGATTTTGAGGTGGAGAAGAAAGGGGAAGGGAGGAGGGTGCGTGAAAAGGTGGAGGGAGGGAGGGAGGGAGGAAGAGAGGTGGGGTGCAGGAGAGAGGAAGGGGGTGAAGAAAAGTGGGGGTGCGTTTTTATATGGGGTAGAAATGGAGTAGGGTTTGTGATACCTATAGCAAAATTCTCAAATTTAACCCCGTCACAAAATTACAATTTAATACACCAGTACATAATAACAAGTTTTAACTACAAGAGTTAAAATAGATTTGCAATTGTAGTGTTTGAGAAGAATGATAAATAAGAGAATAAAATACATATGTACATAACCAAACAAGAGTATCAATAATTCAATATATTCACAATTTTAGTTTTTGACAATTCACATAAAAACACTTAAAAATATATCAATACCTACCAAAGAAATCAACATGTTATCATATTAAGACCGAAGAAATCAGCCTATTTGCTTCACAGGAAGAGTCGCGTCCTATACTAATATCACCAGTATGATCCAAATTCTTCAAGGGCCGAATGAGATTACTATATTCAGATTGGAAAAATTATTTAACTACTACATTAAGGCCGAGAAAACCAATCTACTTACCCCAAAAAAAAAGGATGACACCCCATCCCTGAGGGCCCCCTAACCCCGACCGGACAGTACGTTGGGAGGATGTAAGTTGACCGATCTACTTACCCCTACTATAAAGATCGAACATCGAGCCTAATATTTTTCTTTTTTGGTGGGCCTAGGGCCACCTTTTCTGCTGCACCCCCTTAGGGCTGCTACTATTGTGAGGCTTCGATGGATTGGACTCAATCGATGACTCAATCGATCGGATTATTATTGTGATTAATCAATTCACAATGTTTTTATATATTTCGTGAATTGGGTTATCAAGGGCCGACGTCTCTTCTAGGGATAGATCAGGACGGGCCTACCCGGCCCGCCATTGTGCAGGGCCGAGTCAGGCCGGCCTGTTTGACCGGGACCAAGCTCGGGGGCCAGGCCGAATGAAGAAGCGGGTGGTACCGAGATCTTATTTCGGCCGACCGGGCCGGTCTCAACAGTGAATTAATTTTTATTTATTTATTTTCCATTATGGCTGCTAGGTGGGGGGCTGGGTCGCCTGGGCGGTTTGGAGGTGGGGGTTGGAATTAATTAAAAAATAACAAAAAATGAAAACGAGTCCGGACCCAGATCAGAGCCCAGGCGGATAGCGTAGACCAGGCCCGGTCGGGTATTCCGGACTAGACCCGGTAACGGTACAAACCGGACTGGTACCAGGAATGATAATCTTTGACCCGCAGCCCGCCCGAGCCTGACCCAGCCCCAGTCCACCCCTAGTCTCTTCTCGTGATGCCACAACCTCAATATTTAGTGATTTTAGTCTCGTTGATTAGGTTGGGATTAATTAGTTCTTTTAAGTTGTTTGTTTGACCTTTATTAAAAAAAAATATTTATGCTAAAATGTTTTGTGCAGTTACTTTTATTTTCTGAGCTTGTTATTTATTGATTTACTATTTGGAGTTTCGTGTGGAGTATTGTATTCCTATTAATAAAACATTATCATTTAAACAAAAAGAGCGAGAGAATTTAGTACACAATTGATTTAAAGATTTCTAAAATGATGAGTAATAGATGTTGAGTAGTTCTGGGTGTACACCATGAGTTACATCCCATTTAATTGCAATTCGCACAGACAGACACTTTCGATAAAATTGTCAGTATGAATAAAACTAGTTTTCATATTGCCAAGCTGTTGCACGGAAACCAATGTCGGTGTACACGGACATTAGTTGTCTGTGTAGACAAAAAAGTGGCGGTGTGAAAAAATTGGTTTGCAAGTGTCAGTGTACACAGACACTAGTTGTCTATGTAGAAACAAAAGTGTTTGTACATATGCAAATTTTCGTCTGTGTACACATTAACACAGACACTGCGAATAATAAACGTAAAAAGAAAGAATTAAAGAAGAAGAAGAAGATGATGATGAACAACAATGATTGATGAATGTAACAATTAAGTAGTTTAAAAGAAGAATAATAAATGTAACAATTAACTAATATGATAGGAGATTAATAAATGTAACCATTAACTAGTTTTATAGAAGAATAATAAATGTAACAATTAACTAGTTTTATAGGAGAATAAGAAATGTAACAATTAACTAGTTTTATAGGGGAATAATAAATGTAACAATTAACTACTATGATAGGAGATCAATAAATGTAACAATTAACTAGTTTAACAATTAATTTCGAATTAACTAGTTTAACAATTAAACAAACAATTATTGTCTAACAATTTTTAATGTAACTATTTCCAATAAACTAACAATTAACTACTTTTATAGCAATGAACTAATACTAAAATGATAAGTGAAACGATTAACTAATTTTATATTAATAAAGAATGTATGTGTGTAAACTAAATTAATGAGAATGTGAGAGTGTATAAGCAATTGGATAAGTAGATAATAAGTGTATAAGTAGATATACTTAATATATATATTTATAAGTAGATAATAAGTAGATTAAGTAGTAATATATAATATTATGTTTATAGTATATATAATATAAGTATATTACTATAAGATGAGTAATACACTTATATATAATACTTCAATATATATAAGTATATATTAAGTATATGTAATATGTAAATATAAGTAAATAAATTAGAGATAATTATATATGTAATATGTAAATATAAGTAAATAAATATACGTAACAATAATATAATAATTAGATATTAATATAAGTAGATAATAAATTTTATAAATATATTATATGTAGTTATAAATTTGAGAAGATGAAGATGGAGAAGATTAGTAGAGAATAGAAATTAGAGAGTAGGAATATTTGGAGAAGATGTGTAGTAAATTGTATAGAAAAAAAGGAGTATTTATAGATTTTTTGTACCCCACCCCCCAGCCCACCCCGGGACCCCCTGGCAGGCTCCCAACGGCTATAGAGCCATTTGGGTTGAAATACAACAGCTATAAGGCCTGTTTGGCTGGCCAAAGAATTTAAAAAAAACAATTGGTCGTTAGGCCCGGGCCGGGCCACCATTTTCCTGAACCGTGCCCGAACCGCCCTACCCACCTGGACCGGTTCAAAGCCTGAACCGCCCATAACTTACCCAGGCCGGGCTGGGCCCGCACAGTAGCAGGCCAGGCCGATTCCGGGCCAGGTCGGTTTGGTCCATCCCTAGCTGAAATGCTGAATTAGACTGAACTAAAACACCAAAATTAATAACATTTCTAATTAGCTAATTAAATTTTTATTCAAGGTACATCAACCCTTCATCTAAATAAGGCCACATGTGAAGTAATTATCTGAGTTGATTAAACTAAGGATCAAAATGGGCTGAAATGGCCATACATAAATAAACATAGCAGGAAAATGGTTAACACAAAAAATGGCCTGCACACAAGGAACACAGGAGGAAGACATGCACCAGGTATTGCCTATTTAACCAACAGAACAGAACTATTTATTTGCATCACCAATGAAAACAGACATTATCCAGTTATTTACAATAGAATATCATTATTAACAATCCATATTTCCATAATGAGAGCTACTTACAACAGCCTTAACAATAATAAAGAACCAAACATCTATCCCACAATAATATATACTCCAAAGAATGTTGTAAGCATTTTCTATGCCTAAGCTTAGATAGTAAGACACAAGAACCACAAATGCCACCATAAATATTGCATTCTTCATTTTCCTCCACTTTTGACTCACCAGCGTGTATGCATCATAGTAACCACAATCCTCCTCCATTTCTTCTCATGTCTTAACATTTGTTTATCACCCTCCCTTTTCTTGTTCATACACATTTATGTTTAACAAACGAGATTTTACTACATATATCCATACTTCCATAGCAATAAAGAGTAATACAGGCATCTTGTAAGGACTGGTGCCACAAGATGTCAAACATTCTGAAGTGAAGAAAGCCACTGCTCCATATATGTCTTGCTCTCTGCAAATTAAACCAAGAGTTCATGAGAACACACTCAATCTTATAAGAAATTAAAAAGAAAGAGGTAAGATCAGGCAAATCACTCATACTCAGGAGTAATTTTAACTTTTAAGGCTTGTTTGGTTCGGGGACTTGATCTATTTTCATCTTTTTTATCCTTTTATCTTCTTTATCGTTCTTTGTCCTTTTATCCTTTTTATCATGTTTTTATTCTTTTATCTTATCATTTTTATCTTTATCTTACCTTTCATATGTTTTTTTATCTTTCTTATCTTATCATTTGATCTTTCTTATCTTCTTAGCTCCGATTTCATGTCTTGATTCATGTTAGCTGAACTCAAAGTCTTTTGGGACTTATGCTTGAATGTTGTCCCAAAAGACTAATGTTTCTCTATTTGTTAGTAATAGAGAAAGACATGAAATCGGAGCATGAACTCAAACTCTTTTGGGACTTATAGAGGGGCTTTGTTTTGGTTGACCGTAGACATGAACTCAAACTCTTTTGGGACTTGTACAGGGGCTTCTGTATCATACTAATGTTTCTCTATTTGTTATTAATAGATTACCAAATATATACTCCCTCCGTCCCAAATTGTTTTGCAAAGTCAACATTTTTCGGTCAACCAATAATAAAAGTCAATCCTCCTCGTAGATAATTAACTTAATTTTTGATGATTAAAATTTATATATTCAGAAAGACAGAAACTACATTAAAATCTCTTCAAAGTTGCAAACTCTAAATTAGAATATAATTAAAAATTGACATGCTAATTAAGCAAATAAAATGAAACTGTTTGACCAAGAAAAGTCAAATTTGCAAATCAATTTGGAACGGAGGTAGTATATATATATATATATATATATATATATATATATATATATAAGTTTTGGTTCAAATAAGAACATAATCTTAGGAAAGAAATGAGAATGAATCTAGACCGTTGGATTTGCTTCAAGTGAAATTCAGTGTGCATTACATGAAATTATTGGTTAGATCGTGCATTTCTATACAGTTTTTTATCTTCACTTTATTTCCAATAATCTGAATGTAGAAATAATTTAAAACTGTGTTGGTCTTCCCTTTCCCTCTCTTCCGAAATACCTGAACCAAACAAACCCTTACGGAACCATGTTCATGGTCCGTCTCCCTTATTTAGAACAAGATAGCTTACTTGGGCACCATTATCACCATCCAGTGTCATAGTCGGGCCAACTCACTATAAGAATGGGTGGTGGTGGTGATATCATTTGACTCCATAAGGAACCTAATTTTGGGAGTGGTTCTTACTTCACTAGAGCCAATCTCTTAAGAATTGAACACTTGTGTAATACTCTAAGCACAATGATTTTGTACTGAAGCCACATATGTATGATTTTACTTGTGTGTGTTATATTAGGTATTGACTTATCAGAAGGAAAAGAGAGATGGCTTTGATGTGAAGATATAGATTTCATCAATTATTTTTCTATGAAATTAAAGCTTAGTCTAGTAATTATGGAGTCCCTCTTATTCAGCATGCATTGTAAAAGATAGACCTAAAATTCCTAAATTTGTATTCTCTTAATATGACCGAAACCTGTTAAAAAAATGACCGAAATCACTAAATGCAAGTGTAAGCTTTTTCTTAAGCATAGAATTTAGGTGTTTTCATTCATCTATAACTAACTTGATATTAGCCACTAAGTAAAATCATTAAATGAATTGCATCATACGAAGTATATACCAATAAGAGATGAAAATTGAATGAAAGAAAAGAATGCAACCGATCATAAGAGAAGCAGCCACATAGTTCCTTTTTTTACCTGTGGTATAAATATCTGGAACGTTCCTAACGGTGCTCAGAAACTGATCTTGCAAATTATTTGTGAAGTTCTCAGCATGCCCATAGCAAGGAACTAACACAGCAAAGCTATCATCTGATTCATCATCACCTTGAAACCCAGAACCGTGAGGTTCCATCCATCCAATTGACCAATCAGAATCATCAGACTCAGACCCAGACACACACCCACCATCAGATGGAACAAGAACAATGTCATACTCTTTGTCAATCTTCCTCTCCTCTCTGCTGCTCCATTTTCTCTTGACCTTTCTAGAAGTATATTGTCTACGGTCAAGAGGAAACTTCACTTTATCTGGTTCCCACAGTCCGGATTCAGGCAATGGGCTTAAAGTAAATTTGGGTTCTTGGTGTTTCCCACTCCATGGCCACCAAGACAAAGAGGTGAATGCCATAGCCATTCTCAACAGAGAACCCCAAATCCAATTCTCGGTGTTCAAATAGAATGCTTTCCCAGAAAGAATCAAAACTCAACTTAAGATGGATAAATCAATCAAAAGATTCTTTTCCCTGATCCAAGAAATTAATAATTTAGATTAGAGAGAGAAATCTCATTCCTTTGTGGTGTACCAAAACAGAGAAAAGAAAAAAACATAGTTACAGACCAAGCACACCATGACTAAATACATTGAAGCAGAACCAAGAATGAATCATTGGTGGGGTGGGAGTGGGCAGGATTGCGGGAATAAACATAAGTAGGGGTAGATCAAAGGGCGCAAATGCTACTTGACAAAAGCTCCAACTTCATTCAAGGAAATACAAAACATTTACTGTTATAAGTCAAATGCATCCAACTTGGCCCTAAAAGTACAAAACTACGGCAAAATAAACATCACCATAAAACATGGCAGAAGATGGAAAACAAGGGCCTAAATGTTGACGAAAATATCTTTCTTGTGAAATAAAGCACAAATCGAGATTTCTTTTTTTATAGCTTTTTTAACCATAACGCATGTTTCTCACAATTTGACCAAGTATTAGCTGGATAACTCGACACAGCTCCCTTTTCAGTGGAAAAGATATTAATTAACCACGAATTTTAGCCCATGAAGGAATTAAATCCGTTTTACCATTAAAACTTTAGCCAACAAGAAAACAGAGGGATTTATGAATCCCTAGAACAACAATAACAAAACAAGAGGTAGTAAAGTAGATGCTTAGTATGTACAATAGGTAGAATGGTAGACAGAAATATAGACAGATGCAACAAAAACTTTTTTATAAAAAAACGATAAAATCTCCAACCTGGGTTTTACAAAACAATCACAGTATTTATCCTTAATAATATATGCTAATTCAAACGGTAGCCACCGAAAAACAGGAAATCGTGTACGAACGAAATAACCTTTACAGGGGGAAATGGAGAATGAAGAGAGGAAGTGCTAAGCGCTCACACATTTACCTAAACGGGGATCGGATTTGATGCTTCTAAAGGAGAGGAAAGTCAAAATTAGAAGAGAGCGGAGAAGTGAAGAGAAAGGCTAAAGGATTGGGATGAAGGCGGGCGGGGCGATGAATGCTTATTCAGAACTTCACATAAACCTGAACTCCTTACCGAGACCAGATATTACGGGGTTGAATTGTACACTCCGTAATTATTGAGTACTACTACAATTTTCAGGAGATCTCACCTTCATTTTTTGTCTGCATACGGACTACGGAGTATTAGTTAATTAGTTAGTCTTCATCCATGAAAGAACTTCCAACTTTTCATTTTCGTTCGTCCCAAAAAGAATTTCACTTTTCCTTTTTAGCAAAGAATTTGTGGTTCACAACAATTATTACACATTCTTACACATTTCTCTTTCTTCTGCACAATTCTCCACCACACAATTCCCACTTTCTTAATCCGTGTGTCATTTATACTACGGAAGAACATTTAGGGACGGAGTGAGTATTACTGTAATTCATAATAATAAGAAAAATAACAATGACAATGCATAACACACTACACATGTTTTACGTGGATTTATTTCAATTCTAGACCCCATATATTGAATCATATAAATCAATGATTATAAAATATGAAGTACATATAAATCAAACATTTATCAGACCAGATTAATTCAGACAAAAACATATCAAATCATATCAGACCAGCAAATTTTAGTCCAAATAAAAATATCATTGACACTTATGTTATTATTATATTTCCCGGTATATATCATCTTTGAGACATATTTGTGTGATGTTTTTAAAATTTACTATTGATCGATGTCGTGTCCATACTTATTATCCATTTAAGTCAAAATGCATTTTAAATTTCGTATAAAACAATATACTTTAGAATAATAAGTACGGAGTAGTAGTTTTTGGTTTACTTATATTGTAATTACCATTATTAAATTATGAATGAATATAAGTTTTCTATGTGGGAACTTTATATAATTATATATAGGGAAAATGGAAACTAATAATCCAACCTTTTAGCGGTATCTTTACAATAGTCCCACCTTTTGATTATTCATGAATAATCCAATCTTTGCACCCCATCTTCATTCACTGGTCCCTGACCGATTTATGACCTGTTATTCCAAGTTATTTTCTTATCTTTGCAAAACATTATGTGATCATAAAGTGGTAATTATGGTATAATGTTTTCCAGGGACCAGTGAATGAAGATGGGGTGCAAAGGTTGGATTATTCATGAATAATCAAAAGGTGGGACTATTGTAAGAAGACCGCTAAAAGGTTGGATTATTAGTTTCCATTTTCCCTTATATATATTTGGAATAAGACATTGACATTCGAAATACTTAATCATCAATGTTGTTGGGGAATATTATCCCGGCATGTTACTGTTAAAAGACCCAAGGCTTCACCCGGTGCGGAGCCCAGTCGGTGAGGCCCATTTAGGTCCCTCGAGCCCATTTAGAGTCATTTAGGTCCACTCGGCCCACTTGAGGTTGCTTCGGCCCATTATTGCCTTTCCGGCCCATTAGGGAAAAAAGGCTCCCCTCCCCCTCTATAAATAGGAAGCCAGGCTTCCATTTAGAGGACCCTTTTGGCTCGATCTTTTCCCAGGGAGGGCTTCTTCCTCCCTCTTTCTTCTTTTCATTAAAGCTTACAACCTCCATTCATGGAGGTTCAATATTTGTACTATGTAAATGGTGAAGAGAGTATTAATGAGAAATAATGGGCTTGAACGTTAGTCTAAAAAAGTCCCGTGGTTTTCTCCCTTTTCGGGTTTCCACGTAAAAATCGAGTTTTATATCAAATTATATCTATATCTATTAGTTTATGTTGGACTAAACTCAACAAATGTGTAGTACCGTATATATCAAATATATAAAACGGAATGTGATCAAGTACATATATCTCTAAAAAGTGGTTGTCGCTAGGACATATATACTAAAGGATAACAAATGTAGCGAGTTCATGTGGTAAGAGGAGGATCCTGGAAAGGGCATGTGATGTAGATCTTGTTGGATTCGTCTTTTGGAGTTAGTATCGACAAGTTTGAGTGTGATTAGAGTATAGTTTATAGACTTCAGGATTATGAGAGCGTAGTCCATACACCTAGAATATAAAAATGAAAATATTTAGACTATATCGGGATGATCACTTCAGCTCAAAATGAACTAGGATTTGATGAATCTAGACAATTAATTGACATGTACCCTTGTTCGAACGAATGATTGTGATGGAGTGTATATATTCCAGCGATCCACAAAAGATGATATGGGATAGCAGCCTTAGTCATCCACCTAGCAGGCTGAGGCCCTATGATGAGGTCGAGATCCCATCATAAACTCAGCTCTTCGCTAGCAGGTCCATCCAGCTGCTACAGACCAAGTTGCTCCAGCAAGGTCCGATGATTGCACTGACGCTATCAAGTGAGGTCGAGCGGGCCTAATCCGCCTCAGCTGAGCTGCGGTTTCATACTTGATAATTTTCTGGGTGTTCCAGACATTTGCATATCCAGGATTTACGTCATCGTCGCTCACACAGACGTCACGGACTCACAGGCCTAGGTCTTAGAGGGCCGACATCATCAATAACATCATTGGATCTGTTTTCAATTTTTTTTTTTGATAATCCAGGTGTCGGGGCTTACGCTCCCATAATCCTGGAGTCTATGAACTACCCTCCAAAGCCCCTAGACAGTTAAGTCCGGATCTGATCACAGTCAACCTCGTCAGTACTGGCTCCAAAGGACGAATCCAGCAGGACTTACATCACCTTTCAGGCTGCTCCTCCCACCACACGAACCCGCTACCTTCATTACCATCATCTCCCTTCTCAGCCGCTGAGCAACTCCGTGAAGGTAGGAAGAATCATTGGGAGCAAAACCTCCCTCCTCTCCCCTAAATGTGCCTAGCGGGATTCGAACCCGAGACCTCCGCTAGGACACGGTAACCTTCCACCCAGTGAGCTGGAATGGTTGGTTGGATCTGTTTTCAATGCTAACACCATCTCACCATCAGCATGGCATTAATTGAAGTGTTCCCCAAGTATTTTTGGAACACATGTAGCTCCTTCACTAGTTCATTTAGCGTTTTGGGCTTAAGGCTAAGTCTTTTACTTTTGCTTATAAATAGTCACATTTCCCCTTTGAGAAAGAGCTCAAAAAATCTTGTATTATTATTACGCAAATTTATTACATGATTTTCTTACTCTAGATTTGATCCAACTTCTTTCTAACTACCCACTACCTCTATTAGTTAACCCATCAAGTTGATATTGATTGGATTAATTAATCAGCTAATTTGAGACGTTACTAATTATAATTGATGGATAGTGTATCCGGGGGATAGCTTATCTGAGAGGTTATTACGGGGAATAACTTAGAGAGAAATCGGAGCAATAAGTAAGAGAGAGTATGCATTCGAGTATGTGCTGTTGTTTTTACAATGGAAAACGGGCTACTATTTATAGCAGCCATAAATGCTAAGTCTAATCAACGAGGGTACACGTGTCAAACAACCAGCGGTGGAGGGTCAACTCAAACAGGGGGGTGGCGCCGACCGTGGCATGTGGCCGCATTCAATGCGGTGGTTTGGGTGTGACGTTGTACTTGATACGGCAATTTAGCATATGTGAAGAGGAGATTATGTAGAGAAGAGGGCCTTCGGTTGTCCCTAACGGGGCCGAATGTTATGTACACCGGGGGCTTCCCCTGGCGCCAAAGGCTGTCATAGCCGAAGGCTCCTTTTTCGAGCTTTGTTCTCTTGTGATGTTACTGGACTCGGTATCATGAGTGTGAAGCCTTCAGGCATGGTGCTGGAGGCTGGCCTTGTGTATCATGGGCCGCCTGTAGTCCTGTTTGGTGGGCTTGGCCCATTTGGGTCTGTTGGGCCTGACTGTTGTAGTGGAAGTATGTGGGCCGAGGGTCCCTGAGCTATATACTCCATCAGGAGTCCCTCACTCCTTTTGCCGAAAGGTAATTGAGGGAAAAGGAGTAATTGTAGTTTTGTAAATTTTAACTTTTTCACATTTTCCCGAAGGGGGTTCCCAGTCCCCCACTCCTTGAGGCACATGTAATGGGGTGAAAAGGAGTAGAATAATGCATGTCCTCAACAGAGAGTCGAGGGATGATGCCTTTTGCTTTATTTTGGGGAGATGCCTCGTTAAAACCTCATTAGGGAAAAACCCTGAGGGAAAAAATCCTAATGAGGGAAAAAGAGTGCACCGGATGCCCCCAAAATCAAGCAAAAAGGTTAACCCTTCGATCTGAGATGAAGGATAATGCAGAGGGCGAGGGCCATTCGCGATTTGTGGTAAGTAACCCTGAGGGGCCGAGGGCCGCTGTGTAAACTGAGGGCAGCAATGCTGAGAGTCGAAGGCTGTTTGTGAGTTGGGGGCGTGACTGTTGCTGATGGATGTAGGTGATTATTGTGGTCTTGCCGAGGGGAGTCCCCCGGTCCCCCATACATTAAGGGCTGAGGGCTCTCGGGGGGTTCCCCGACCTTCGTGCTGGGGGTTAACCCTTGATGAAGGGGTTTGAATGTGTTAGCCCGAGGACTGGCTCTGGTGTTGTTTGAAGGGTGCCAGCTGGGGCACCTCAGTGTTCCCAAAATAGCCGTTGGGATATGACCGTTGGAGAAGGCGTCCACATGACGTGCTCTAGTTGGCGTGCTGCGGGCGGGTATCACCGGTTGGCTGAAGCGATGGTTTGTAATGATGGGCTTTTAACCCGAGGCACAAACTCAGGCCTTAACCATAGTTTGGGGGCTATAAATACCCCAAGGTCGGATTCATTCCCCTTGTGCGATTTTATTGTAGCGAAGCTCTGCCAAAAATTTTCTAGAGAGAGAAAGCACTTAAGTCGATCAAACCCAAGTTTCTGAGGTCAGTTCTTCCTCTGTTCTTGTCGTTATTCGTATTTTTGCTCCTCCTCCTTTAAATTTAGTGTTAGTCCCTTAGCACCCTTCTCCTTTCTTCCACCTCCATTCTTCTTTAGCACCGAAGGATGTCGTCTGCTAGCAACTCACAAAACATCTCTGGAGAGCCCTCGGTTGAGTCAGAGACTTGGACTGACGAAGGGCCGCAAAGTTCTGAGGCCTCTTCCAACAATGATTCTGCTATAGCACAGGAGGTGCAAAAGGACCTTGTAGCCAAGGCCGAGGCCGAAGAATTTGAGCAAGTCATTGAGGACGAGGAACTGGCCATCGCTGTCCGTACGACCGAGGAAGAAGAGGAGAGAGAACGATGAAAGGTGACTATCGTTATTCCCTCGGCCATCGCCAGTGGAGAGGGGACTTCACGAGCCCTCAGTTCGGAACCCCTCAGAGCTGCGCCCTTGGCGAAGAGTAAGAAGAAGATGAAGGCCCCCCAGAAGAAGAAGCAAAATGCGGCAAATTGTGGGAAGCCCGTGGGAATACCCGAGGGGCATTCATTTTTGAATACTGCTGCCCTCGCGTTGAGGTTGAGGGCTGATCAGGCGGAGTGCTACGTTACTCAACTCCATGTTGGGCCCTCAGCGACAGTGATAGAACCGGGCCCCAATGATCTGCTGTCCCAGGCTCCCGAGGGGTGCTTTGCGGTCCATGTCCTCTCCGTCTCGTTGGGCCTTCGGTTTCCGCTACATCCCTTCCTCCTCGAGTACCTTAGGTATGTCGGCCTAGCCCCTTGCCAACTTACCCCAAACAGTCATTCATACATTGACGACTTTCTGCACCTCTGTCGGTCCCGGGGTTAACCCATAGCCTCGACCTTTTCTTTCAGAGTTTCAACCTCTGCTGGGGAGGTCATGCTAATTCTGAAGGCTTCACGAATCTGCAACAGATCGCCCAGTGGAGGCTCTTTTCTGATGCGCCCTCGTCCCACAAGGGTTGGAAGGACCGTTTCTGCTACGTCAGGGTGGCGGTGAATCTGTTTCCCGGGGAGCTGCGAAACCACTTTAGGCGCCATCCGAAGGTGGAGAGTGCCGCCCTTGAGAAGGATGGAAGGAAGATTTTCGCTCTTCCGGAGGGGTCTACGAAGCATGTGGCAATCAAGGACTCAACCCTTTCGGACGACCTGCACGATTTGGGCTTCCGGCGCTACCGTTTTCTGGGGAAAAGGACGAGAAATATCCCCTCCTCGATCGTGCTTTCGAGAGCACTCGAGGTGGTTCCCGAAGGCTCTAGCATTTTGTACTTAGAAATATTTTCATAATTCATTCTTGCCTTTGCCCTTATTCCCTCGGCCTCATACTTGGTGTGTTTTTGCAGGTAACAATATGGATGTGAAGGAGCCGGGTAAACAGAAGCCCGTGGAGGCCTTCTTCCAAAAGGGGGGGCGAGGAGCCCTCCATAGCTACTGGTGACAAGGCCGGGGGGTCTCAAGCTGCATTGGCCTTGAAGAAGAAGGTCGGAAAGAGGGTTGAGCCCCCGGCCAAGAAGAAAAAGGTGCTCGCCCTCGGCAAGCAGCCGGCCTCTGATGTTGTGATCATCGAGGATGAGGGGAATGCATCCGGTCCCACACCTGAATTCTTCAATGAGGCCTTCTTCGGCCGAGAGAAGGTGGAGGCATTCATGCCGAAGGGCAGTTCTGTTCTAGACGCCACCCTCAGCCCTTCAGCGTTCATGAGCCAGGTTATGCCTTCGGGCGACAGGGTGGCACTCTCCCGGATGGACGAAAGCGCCCTTGAGTCCAAGATCCTTCTGAGCAATGCCTCTGTGAGTCCCGTTTTTCTTTCATTTTCATTTGCTTCCGTTATTATGTAACATATGCAATGCGTCTAATTGTCCTTTTTGTTGTTGTAGAATTTCATGGGCCTCTGTGAGCACCTTCGGAGGGTGGAGCAGATGAGGGAGGTCAGGAGCGCCGCTGATGAGGAGGTTGCTAGCCTCAAAAGGAAGCTGGCTGAGGCAAAAGATCCCCCCCACCCCCGGTTGACGATCGAGGGCATGGAGCAGCGGGTGCAGGCCGCTAAAGCTGAGGGCATAGTCGAGGCCAGGGAGACTGCTGTCGAAGCCGCCAGAGTTGCTGCTGAGGAGGCCTAGAGGGAAAAGCCCGAGGAGGTGGCCAAAGCAGTGAGGACTGTCGTTGAGGCATTTTTCGTCGGGGGCTGGATGGCTGAGGATAAGGAAGATTGGGTCTCCTCGGTTGTGGAGAAGAAGGTCGACGCCTGGGTTGAAGGCCCCGGTAAGATGTGGTTGGCTGAGAGAGGCGACTGTTATTACCAAGGGGGTGAGTTCTTCACCCCGGCGCTTGATATACCGGAGGCTGGTCCGACATTTTAACGTCCCCCTGGAGCAATTTGATCCGGAGGCATATGGTCTCCCCCCTCGGCAGCCAGATGTGAGAGTCCCCCTCCCCCCCGAGTGAAGAGAGGCCAGTGATCGAGGATTCAGAAATGATGAAGGAATCTGGCGACGGTGACGTAGATGAGGCTGCCGGCGATGAGATCACCTCTAAAGCTGCTGAAGGGGGCGTTGATAATGATTGTACCTAGATGTATTTTGAACAATGTTCTGTAACAATACTTCTCAACTTCCGTCTTCGGCCACTGTGTAACAAACACCTTTTATTTATTTTGTGAATGTATGATTGTTGATGCCTTTGTTTTCCTTTATGCCTTCCTCTCAGTTTTATGAATGTGTGCATGTCGTATGAGCGAGTTGTGAGCCCCCTCCCCTTATTGACGGGGGCCAATAGTTCAGGACTTAGGAAAATTCAGTGACTTACTCAAAGTGTAGGCCTTCAGCACTGTTTGACGCGCCGAGGGGGCTTACTCATGGACTTAGAAAATTTCCTCGAGGGGGACGCCTCTCGTCTGCCCTCGAGACAGATCCTCCGCTTTCTTGGGGCCTTTGGAACACTTTACCACTGAGGCGTTCTTGGACCCTCGGGGATCGCGAGCCCCTCCGAGCCTGTCGAGGGCGGAGGTTCGGGGCCTATCCTTGTTCACATTGCGCTGGTCCCGAGACTGGACTTCCTGGGAGGCGGTATCCTGGGCAATGACCCCCTCGTCGTTTCCGGTTCTTGGAACCGGGCGTACGAAGGGGGGGCGGAAGTGGTGGGAGAGGAATGACATTCTCCCCCACGTAGGCCTGTGATGGCACAAGTGCACCGAGGGCGCCTGGATTATGGGTAAGAGTGTGGATGAAGGCTGAAAAAGCCGACTGCACGTCGATAGTCAGGATCGGGGGGCTAACTTGGTTTTTGCTTCGGTCCTTCCTCTAAGTTTCAATGCCTAGGAGGGCATCAGGGGCATTCTTCTTGAGCTGGAGACGTAGGTCAACAGCAGCCTGTTCCAATCCGGCGATGACTCCATCCTCAGGAGCTATGTTGGAAGCTCCGGGGGCGTCGACCTTGCCGAGGGCCAGGTTGTTGTCTTCAAGGGTCTTGGACTGGGCATGAGTGGTTCTTCCCATCTTGGTGAGTGTTTTTGTTTCCTGAAGGGGAGGGTTTCTTACTTGATTGTTCGACCTCTCAACGAGAGCACCAAATGATGGATAGTGTACCCGGAGGTAGCTTATCCGAGGGGTTATTATGGGGAATAACTTAGAGAGAAGTCGGAGCAATAAGTAATAGAGAGAGAGTATGCATTCGAGTATGTGATGTTGTTTTTACAATGGAAAACGGGCTGCTATTTATAGAAGCCATAAATGCTAAGTCTAATCAACGAGGGTACACGTGTCAAACAACCAGTGGTGGAGGGTCAACTCAAGCAGGGGGGTGGCGCTGACCATGGCCTGTGGTCGCATTCAATGCGGTGGTTTGGATGTGGCGTTGTACTTGATACGGCGATTTAGCGTATGTGAAGAGGAGATTCTGTCGAGAAGAGGGCCTTCGGTTGTACCTAACGGGGCTGAAGGCTCTATACACCGGAGGCTTCCCCTAGCGCCGAAGCCGAAGGCTCCTTTTTCGAGCCTTGTTCTCCTGTGATGTTACTGGACTCGGTATCATGAGTGTGATGCCTTCGGGCATGGTGCTGGAGGTTGGCCTTGCGTATCATGGGCCGCCTGTAGTCCTTTTTGGTGGGCTTGACCCATTTGGGTCTGTTGGGCCTGACTTTGTAGTGAAAGTATGTGGGTCGGGGGTCCCTGGGCCATATACTCCATCAATAATGTTTCAATTTAGCCCTTTAATTTACCACAAGCTTATGTAGATAGATTTTACCCTTTCATTTTTCGAATTTTATCTTGTCATATTCTAACATTTACTTGTATGCTAATTCTACATTTTAGTCGTTACTTAAGCTATGTTGTCAAACTAGTCTACTTCATTCAGGTAAAATTTTAGTTTCAGTAACTTTTATCTAAATTCAGACAATAGTCCCTAAATTGGATCATAGACAATATATAGCTTCATCTTGTTTTTTCAAACTTAACCATAGTACACTGGTGAATTTAATTGAAATTTAGCTTAGAAGTTAGAATATTAATATTCACTCAAAAAGTGGGTAATTTCTCATTAGAAATGCACTCTCATTATAATCTCTCCCTATTTTAAAATATGATAATTCTATTTTGGAATATACAAACGTTTTTAGTCCTATTTTGGGCAATTTCTCTTTTTTATCGGTAGACTGTTTATGCGAAAAGTGGTTTTGAGCAAATCGAATCATTGATTGAAAAGTATACTAAATCACGTGTGTTGCTCTTAATAATACGATAGAGATGTGGCATTTAACTTCAAGTGAACTTTCGGAGTTCGATATTTATTTTAAGTTTAGTTTAATAAACTTAAAATTAAATCTGATCTAGTATGTGTATTTTATGACTGTCAAAATTAAATCTGATCTAGTATGATCTTTTGAAGTTTGATTCGATGTGTGCTGGTTTGATCTGTTTAAGTTTGATTTAGTTTGATCTGGTCTGAGATTGAAACAAGTCCAAGAAAAAACATCCTTAACCATTGTAATTATAATTCGATTTATTTAACCGCCTAAAATTTTTGTATATGAATTATTTGTATTTCTGAAATTATTATTTAAAATATTAATAGTCTTATTACAGATCGAACATGTTAATATTTAATTTAAAGTTCATACGAAGTACAATCTTAGAACGTTATACTCTTCTCTTATTTAGTAAACAGATTATTTACTTTACTCTCTTAAAGTAATAATAGTTGTATAATGTCGAAAATATTTAGTTTACTCTGTAATAATAATATCTACTCTTATTCATTATGATAATTAAAAAGTTAAAGAATGAAATCTTGTTTCCTTAATTCATTGAAAAGTCAAATTAGAAACATTTTTTAGGGAGGCAGGGAATTCTATTAATAACTTATTATTACTCGTTATTATAGTGTCATTATTATTCATTATTAATAAACATTTTTTGTAATATTCCTTGTTATTGCTATCATTATCATTAACAAACAAAAGAATCTCACATGATAGAGATTGAAATGACATTTGTGTTCGCAGCTTGTCACTAGCAAATTTGCTATTTGTAACTTATACTCCGTAGTTATTAGTTTAGATATTTTGTAACGATATAATACAAAAGACTCGAGTAAAACCTGGTCAAAATGCAGCATATATTGCAGCATAAAACTGAAAAACTTTGTTCACTACAAAAAAAAATGACGGGATTGGAACAAATTTGACACGGATTTACCGATAATTTTGTGTCAAGTAACTCGTGTCAAACTGTTTTTGGTACGAATTTGACATATCTCTGCTAATTTTGAGAAATCTCTACCAAAAATTCTTGTTAAGCCCATGTTCTTTTGTAGTGGTTTACCGTGAACATATATACACTATAATTACTTGTACATGCTAATTGTGTGTTCAATTAACTTTTTGAATGACTACTAAGAATACTCTGATCTCTCTATTTTATTAGTTGCAAATATAGGTTTTTCAAGTAGATTATAGTAGGGATAGTAAGTAATGTAGAAAGGTCTAAAAAGTAGGATAATAAGATTGAGTATTAAGCAAAAAGATAACAAGTTAAAAAAAGTACAAATGATTAAATGACAAAATAAAGTACCCTATGTTTTCTAAAATTATCTCTATACTTTCATTTTACGCTCTTCCCTAAACATATATTATGTGACATTTATATATTTTATGGTACGGTTCATATTATATATTTGCCCTAGTTATCATGTACGGAGTATGTTTCATGTTCGTCGAACCCGAATTTTTTTTGGACAAAGGCTTAAATATTTTTGTTGCATGGTTCATATTATGCATCTGTTCTAGAAATTTTTTGACCATATAATTTCCATTATATCGGAATATTTCACTTCCACTACAATGTCCGAGCAGGAAATAGAAAGTTTGAACTATTTCAACTTTTGACCATCCAAATAAATGAATTTTCCACTTTGGAATTTGATCACTATATAGTTATTGTGATGATGATGAACACCCGCACGGGTAGCTCAGTTGATCGAGTGTTGGAAAAATTAGACCAAGTAACCGAGGTTCGAAACCCGCAACGACCGTGTGGAGGTTACAGAACTTGAAATAAGGCTGGACCTCTGATGCGCACGTGCATAAAGCCTACCG